CTTTAACGTGCTACTAGACTCTTTCTTGTTGTTGAAGTTTTTCCTGTTACAGACTAACTCGGCTAGCCCGCTGAAGCTTTTCTAAAATAGTTAGCAAAGCCATAAGTTCAAAAGTTCCTAGCTGGTCAGTGACCATTTATGATTACCCTGCTCTTTCCTGTGCTTCCTCTGTCGTCATCCTCTCATTTTTCTTGTATACTTTTTTCCCCTCTGCAATCCTCTGTGCTTCATCTTTCTGGCCTACAACAACTCCTTGTTGTCACCCAACTGTTTCCTGTGCCTAGGAACTTGGCTGAGCAACCCGTACTACCTTTATCTTTTTATTCTGTAACTTTGAACTCATTCCTTTCCTGCTTCTCCCACACAAATATTGAGGGGGGAAATCAGTTATGTTATATCATGATTAGGAGATTTTAGTATCTCATACAGTACTGAACTTTCACATGTCATGTTGTCCGTGTCTGAAAAGCAAGGAAGTACTCCTATACTTGCTTTTGTAGCCTTTCAACTTGCATATTGTCAGGTCTGTATTTTCTGGTGAATGCATTTATCAGTCTTACAGTATTTTGTTTATTTTGTTTTAACAAAAGTTATTTGAAACGATTACATAGAACAAACATGTTTTACAAATATACACAAAGTTCCTGGAAATATTTCCATACAGTATTATCCTACAGTAGTTGAGCATGTAACTTTGAAGATGTAAATAAGTACTGATGCTTTAAACTGCATTAATATTATTTTTATTACTAATTTCCAATAAAGTTAATTTAAATGTGTTTGTCATGAAGAACAGTGAGGATAGAAGTTGTGGAGGTACATTGTAATATAGAGAAAGAAGTGTGAAAGATTAATGCTTTTTTCTCACATCTTGATGAATGAGAAGTAATACTACCTTGGGGCTTTTGAGTTAATTTTTCTTTCTTCAATAACCTGACTCATTACATATACATTCTCTTCATCTACACATGTAAGCAGCCTCTGCCATTATTTCTGCAGACAATTTAAGGGCCAGGCATGATGGCAGTCCCTATATTTAAGAAAACATAGGGACTGCTGGCCTCTGGAGTATAAGAAAGAAATGTAGGATCCAAACTCACCTTGGCACCAAATCAGGTAATAAGACAATGCTTCTCAGAAAGGAGTTTAGCAGAATTTAGTTTTCCCTGTATACTGGTGAGGTCTGGGAGACACTCTGGAGTGTTAGATGTACTGCCTGAAACTAGCTGTGCTATAGAAATTCTTCTTGGAGGAGCGTCCCAGTGACGGCTTCACTTTAGGTGTTTTGGCACCCTGCACTTGTAATCAGAATTTTGTAGTAGCAGTGCCCTGGTTGACTGCACATGCATGTGCAGCCAATCTTGCAACTTTCTGAGTGACTGTCTGTCGCGCACACAGCCAACTGTCCCACAGTTCCTTCTTAGCTGACTTTGACTTGAGTAGGAAGGGCTGTATTGCTTCTCCAAAACATAAGTAGCTAAATCTTTTTTCTTCTTTCCTGGTAGGGTATACTATCTTTCAGTTTTTCTGTAGTCAGCTATTATTTACCACATACTGCCCTCACTCAAATAATAACACTTCAATAGGACAGAGCTTATCCTCTTTCCTGAGGCTTGCCCAGCTCTCTCGGCTTTTAAAGCCGCCTGAGCTTCAGACTTTCCATTGCCACGTCAAATGGCCACATGCAGTCTGTCTGATGTCTTAGAGTCTCAGATTGCCCATGTTGCAAAAAACTGAACACATGAAAGGCCAGGGTCATCCAGCTCAAATTTGCTGATGGAGAAATCTGTCAAGGCACATTCTGATACTAAGATGAGATGCCATCTCGCCAAATGTCACTCTTCGCAGCCTGTGAGCTGAGCAGCTCCCTGCTGGCTGTGGACAGGATCTGCTTTGGCCAGACTGGAGCAGTTCCCTGTTGGCCGTGGACAGGGTCTGCTCCAGCCAGAGGGACAAGAGCCAATTTCCTTTTTCTAGTTCTGGAATTATAGAAGATAGGGCCACCATACATACATATATAAAATTAGCACTCTTTAACAGCTCCATCAGTCTACACTTGGCTACAATCGCAAGATGGATGGGGGTACTATCTTTGCTCACGCAACTACTAAGCACTTTCTAAAAGGCATAAATAAACACTTAACACTAAAAGACTGAACTCCTGTAAGGACCTTAATCATATAATCTACAGCCTGATGGGGAAAGTATTTGAACCTTTAGCAGCTTACTTGTTACACTTTATCGATTAGGATTGCTTTCCCCATCACCATGTCCGCAAGAAGTGTGGGAAAGTTAGGTGCCATAATGGCGTACCCTACTTATACTACATTTGACAAAGAAAATGTGGTCCATTGATGACACCCCAAATGCATGTCCAAGGAAGCCTCCCCATTTCACCTAAATCAACCTACATAACGGGTTTTTTTTTCCTGAAACCATATTTTGGCAACAATGAGGCTTCTCTTCACACACTTGAAGTCTGCCGGGTATTGGAATTTTATCTGTAGAACTACAACAAAACCATTTAGAAAATCATCCTGTCTTACTCTTTATAACAGAATGATTATTTTGAAACTGAGACTAGCCCAATATCCATTTGGACATGTCCTTTTGTGTTACCAGCAGAGCAATTTCCCTGCTTCTCCAAGAATCGCACATATTCCATCAGAGTGTTATCCACTTTGATAGCATTTCTCAATAACATATTCTTCACGGACATTTGCAAAACTGTTGTCTGGGCCTCTGCCCCAATTTTTACTAAACATTATGCTCTTGAAACAATGAGCTGCAGATGCTCATTTGGGCGGTCGGTGCTAGCTACTGTCAAACCAATTCCCAAGCCCCTCCCTTCCACTGAGCAGCATTACTAGACAGTCATAGAATCATAGAACTGGAAGAGACCTCAGAAGGTCATCAAGTCCAGCCCCCTCCTCTAGGCAGAACCAATTCCAACTAAATCAACCCGGCCAGGGCTTTGTCAAGCCGAGACTTAAACACCTCTAGGGATGGAGACTCCACTACTTCCCTAGGTAACCCATTCCAGTGCTTCACCACCCTCCTAGTGAAATAGTTTTTCCTAATATCCAACCTGGACCTCTCCCACCACAACTTGAGACCATTGCTCCTTGTTCTGCCATCTGTCACTACTGAGAACAGCCTTTCTCCAGCCTCTTTGGAACCTCCCTTCAGGAAGTTGAAGGCTGCTATCAAATCCCCCCTCACTCTTCGCTTCTGCAGACTAAACAGACCCAAGTCCCTCAGCCTCTCCTCATAAGTCATATGCTCCAGCCCCGTAATCATTTTGGAGTGCCCACAGGAATGCTCTTTGAAGAACAAAAAGAAAAGGGAATAGAGGTACATGGGCATGGTTAGTTGCACACACTAGGTATCTTCTTGAAGCTGTGTGAGATGGCTACTGTGCATATACTACCTTGCTACTACAAATCTCCAATTACAAATGCAGGGCTCCAAAACACCTAAAGTGGAGCACTCACAGGGACAACTGTCTCAAAGAGCCTTAGTTACTGCATGTGATAAATAACTATTTAAGTGAATCCTTTGCATGAAAAGTCACAACTGTGATCCATTATCATGTATTCTGTACATGCATTCATCTTGTTTTATAACGATTGTAGAAAAATATGAAAACCTAAAAGCAATTGAACTTTTATGAAGAATATCTTCTGCTCAAAATAGATATAATTTTTTTCTCCATAGTGTTTCCTGCTTTTTTGAGGGAGAAGGGGGCGGTATAGGGCAAACGGTATGCTTTGTTTTGCCTATACAATGTTACTCTAAAAGATGAAAATAAAATTAGAAAAATATGGGTGAATATCTACTATAGAATTAGCAATTGAGATGGTATTACTAAGAACCAAATCTTTATTTTGAAAGTATTAGTACAAACTGTGAAAGTTCTATTGGAGGCTTTCATAAAACATCTTGGGAAACTTATTAGAGAATTCAGTACTCCAAAACATATCGGCTTATAGAAATACGGTAGTACCATTCTCTACTTGTATACAGTTTTGCAAGAGTAATTCACATAAATAAAAATAATTCAGACACATAAATTACATTGGGTAGAATAGTTGTTAAAGTACTGGAAAAAGGGTTCAATATAATTGGTTAATGAAAATGTTGAAATGGGGCAGCAGACGTAAGAAAAGGAAAGAATGCCTCCAAATAAAATTGATTTTTCAATTTTTTCAATGTGGGCTGAAACTATCTTTTGGAGAATGTCTGCAGGGTTTCATGCTTTTGAACCATTTGTTGTGTTTCTTTTAGCAAAGAGAATTCAGACACTTTGGAAACCAATGTATATTGGAATCTGATTAAGCCTAGGTTGCATACGTTTTAAAGGCTATTCTTTTTTACTATCACTGTTTTTTTTCCCCTCAAACTTTTAGGCTCAGCAGTGGGTACTTAAAAAATATGTCTTTACAAATTCTTACTAAAATATTTTAGTTTCTTTGATTATACTGAACCCAAAAAATCATTCTTCTTTTACATAATTTACAAATAAACATGATTCAAAATTGTACAGTTAACAAACTTTAAATAATTCAATTTTCTAAAAAGCATTTCATTGCAAAGATTTGTCCTTAATGTTAGACTACATGTGTAACAGTGAAAGAAAATTCCTAGTCATGTTGTTTGCAAAATATATATAGAATTTTTATAAGCACCATAAGATGCCTTTCCATCTTAAGCTTTTGAGAAAGAATAGCATTAAGGTGTCCATTGTTTTCTTCTGTTTAATTTCCATGTATTTTAATTTCATATTACCCTAGTGGGCTGCACCCCATGCTGACGACACTTGTTCCTTCCTCCGGCCACTTTCACGGCCAGTGAGTGTGATGACATCATTCTCTCTCCCCGCAGGAAAAACTTTTTTATACAGAGAAAGATAATAGTTTTTAATTATTCTACTGATATAATTAGTGTGAAATAATACAATAACTTGAAATAAAAATAATATGGCAAACATATTTTTGCAGGCACCTTCTGATTTATAATCCTACAGAACAGGAGCGGTTCTCAGTGGTGTCAATCTATGTGAATTCACCCAAAGCTAAAGTATTATCTCCTTTGGGAAAACCTGTTATGGTCCAGATTAGTGGAGTATGGGATACAGCAACTACAGTATCAAATGAAGCATATCAGGTATGTTACTGGAAATAAAAAGTGGAAGTTATACTGATTTGCATTTAAATATATACTGTAGCTTCGCATTAGAGGAGAAAACAAAGAAAAGCACACTTCAAATGTATAAATCATGTATCAGTTTTATACTCTTTGAGTGTGAGAAGGAATAATTAAATTATTTTGGTCTTAGGATATATCATCAACTTTTTAATCTTTGTTATTTTTCATATTACCAAAGTTTAATACTGGATTAAGTGTTTCATTTTGAGGTATTTATTATTTGGTATCATTTACAGTTGCCTTGGGTTATAACTTGAAGTATGTGTTTAAATATAGTTGTCCCCTGTAGCTTTTCTACAAATATATAGATGTCTTATATCCTGCTTACATTTCTGTTTATCTGTGTTTGAGTCAGAAAACTGGTATGTTGAAATATTTGTTTTAAAGTTGTTAAAAATTATTTGAATAACAGCTGCGGTGTACATTAGATTTTTTTTGCCTCTTTAGCCCCATGAATTTAAATGGAAATTAAACATCCCAGTAATGTGTTAGCTATTTTGCTGCATTTCTAAGGAGATATATGTGCTTGTAACCAGGGCATCAAAATCAAGTAGAAATCTGAGACCAGTTTTGAAGTGTTTCAAGTAATGATTTTTTAGTTTTTCATGTTTAATAGTCTAATACAGAGGTTTCGAAGACAACACAGCAAATTAATACCTAGCAGGGCAGACTAAGAAATATATGAATAGAAATAATCTATAATTATAATAATTGTATATTATTGTACTGGTAGACTAATACTTGGTTATTGAAAGAAATGTTCATAGTAATCATTATATTCTTAGAAGGTCTCATACTGGCAGGGTATATGTAATAATCAACTATAGCAGAATCTTAAGAAAATCCTAACATTCTTGTAAGCATAAACTGGAAGGCTAAAATGTGTATAATATAGGACTTTACCACATTGGTTTGGATTGTTGTGTTCTTGTAGACTTATTGATTTTAATTAATAAATATTGTACTTCATAATTAGGATTGTTTTGTAAAAATGCTGATTTTAAATAATTTCAGTTGTCTTTATAAATGTATGTTATCACAATATTCCTAACTGTGAGGAAGCTTAAAGAATGCCATAAATATAGAAGAAGTGGTATCTAGTGATAAAAAGAAACACTGGAAATTTGATGAGTTCCATTGTGGCTTTTCTAGCTTATCTTGACCTCAGATCCACTATCCGCTATCATGAAGTAGAAAAAAAAGCATAGTTCCCAACTCTCTATTGACTTAAAGGAGGGGGTGTTAGGCTATAAAACCATTGTCAGAGGAGGATTTGATGTGACATTTGAGCTAAGTGGATCAGATCCAAAGATTTGAGCCAAAGTCTTGGATCCCTAGGTCTGGACTCTCATGTACTCTCCATTTCCCTGTACAAGCTGATCTTGGAGCAAACACGTGGTTTCAAATTGTACCTCCTCATAAGAGATTTTTCTCAATCTTAATATGCCACTAGTTCTATTTTACTATGAACTTCTCACTGAGATTTGACAGAGATTTGTTACATAGAGATATGTTCATATATTTACTTAACATTACTCTTTTATGTGGAAGCCAGGTTGCATTCCTATTTCAGAACCACTTTCCTATAGTGTACATTTTTTTCATCCCTCTTCCAAGGGGCTAATTACTGATAATAAATCTCTAATGTGGAATTCTGAGGAAGCTTTTGTAGAAGAGAGAAAGGAAAGTTTCCAGCATATTGTTTCTTGTTGGGATGTAATTGGGTAGATAATTAAATGATTAACCGATGAGCAAAAGTTTATCGGTTAGTGCTGTCGTCTACCCCCCCCCCCCCCCAGTACATTTTTAGAGGGCTGGCCAGCAGCATGACTCAGTCCCCGCTCGCACGGGCTCCTGGGAGATACTTATGCTGCGGCTCTGCGTAAAAAGTAGTGGAGGAGCTGGGTGGACAGGCAGCCCAACTTAGTCCCGGACCACACCAATCCTGGGAGCTTCCCCCACTGCAGCTCTGCATGAAAAGTAATTTAAGAGCTGGGGGTAGCTCCCGGGACCTGGCATGAGTCGAGACTTAGCGAGGCTGCCTGCCTAACTCCTAAATGATTTTCAGTACAGAGCACCAACAGGGGTAGTTGCTGACCCAGCACAAGCTGGAAGTGAGTGCTATGCCTAATCAGTTGAGTGGTCCACAAAATTTTTGTTTCTTCTTTGAGGAGTGTCCCCATGGGGTGCTCCACCTCTAGATGCTTTGTGCAACTGAGCTCGAGGTCGGAGATTTATGACAGTAGTGCCCCTGGCCAGCTGTGCACACAGGGAGTCTGTATGTGTTCCGGAGAAGCTACTGCGCATGGCTGGCTCCCCTCCTTGGATCCTTCTTTACCACTGTCAGCTGCCCTGGCTGATCAGAAGTCTCCCTTCAACCGCATCCTTCCTCTCTACTTATTCAAAATTACCTCAGGAATACTTCCTAATTGCTATAACCTGACTCCTTAGACCTTCTAGTTTTTTGTTTTTTTGTTTTTAAGAAGAAAGGACAGACACGGTGCTGGATGAGCGCGAAAAGCCATGTGCTAGTCTGCATAGCCCGGCTCGTCTGGGTTTAAAAAGTGTACGAGCTGCAGGTTATCCTTTTCAATTTCTGGTGGGCACACAGAGTGTGTTCGCTGTTTGGGTGAACACCACCTTCCTGACTGTTGCCCATATTGCCAAAAGCTCAAAGCCTGATCCAGGAGATTGAGGGAACTACATATTAAACTGCTCCAGATGGAGGAAAAAACTCGGTCAACGTCTGACCTAGAGCACTCCACTCCTCCCAGACAAATATCACCTGGGACGGAGTCAGAGGGGATGGCGCATACTGGGTCGAGTCCCAAGGACCGTGAAAATAAGAACAAGAAATGGTCCTATTCTTCGTCAGGGATTGACTCCCCATTGAGGAAAGGTGCTCCCTACAAGAAAGCCGCACCCAGCAACTGCGCAGACGGGGTATGACAAACAACAAACCACAGGAACCGGCAAAGAGAAAAGCCGGAACCCTAAGCACTCTCAGTGCTCCTCACAGAAACTGCCTGAGGCAAAGTGGAAACCCTCAGCAGCAGCACTGAGCCAAACAACTGCGGCACCAGCTTCTATGCCAAGCACACACCACTCACGCAAGGCTCTGAGCACAAGCAAAGCAATGAAGGTGGCTCTGCTGGCACTGCAAGTGTACTCGGCACTGCTCTCGCTCAGTACTCAGCTGGCATTCCCAATAACACCACTCTCTGTACCACAAGCTGCCTGCCTCCCACCACTACCCACTGTACAGCTGTTGCCGCAGTTCAGCACTGCAGCGGAGCTTTCAATTAACTCAGCACCAGGATCGCCTCTCCTCGGCACCGACAGTACACCAAATGCTTCACGGTGCAACCTGTCAATTTCACTGGCCAGTTCTATTGCCTCCTCACTCACTAATAAGGAGGAGACATCTCTCAAACTGTTGCATTTAAAGTGACCCACCGTTCAAGAAGCACAGAAACATACCCAGCAATAGCAGATACCACAGTGGTTCCCTACCTAGTTCCTACCTTCCTGGCCGTGTTGGGGACCCATGGGTAGCCTACAGGCAACAACAGCCCACCCAACTACAGCACAGGGGCCAAACACCAAGATTACAGGCACCTAATAGCCATACCATAGAGCACAATACTTCTGATTTAGGGGAACAGGAGCTGGACTATATGGATGAAGAAAAGCGGTCCTCTCCTTCCCCACCCACACAGAATTCCTCCACATCTCAAGAGGACACCATCATAACCCAGCTACCAAATATGGGTGATAATTTTTTTAGTTGTTCCAAGACCTCTCTAAGAGAGTTACTGACACCCTGGAGATCTTTCAGATGCTCCACAGACACAACACAAGCTTACAAACATCCTACAAACCTCCTGTCATCCAAAGCTGGCCATTCCTATGAATGAAGCAATCATGGACCCTGCCAAAAATATATGGCTCAAACCAGCATCAACTAACCCCATTTCTAAGCACCTAGATAGGAAATAATATGGGTCTCCCAAGGGGGCAGAATTTCTTTTCTTGCACCCGGTACCAGATTCTCTTGTAGTGGAAACCGCAAACCAGAGGGGAAAACAACAGTCAGTGTGGACAACTTCATATGATAAAGATTGGAAGAGACTAGATGCAATGGGGGAAAAGGATTATTCATCGGCAAGCCTCCAAATGAGAATTGCTAACTACACAGCATTAGCAAAGTACACACACCAGATCTTTGACCACATGACAACCTTTGTCTCAATTTAAAACAAACATTAAAGAGAGCACACTAATATCCCATACCACCCTGCAGGCTGCGCTCGACTCTGGGGACACAGCAGCCAGATCACTTGCAGCAGCTGTAGCAATGAGACGAGCCTCCTGGCTCCAGTTGCCGGGTTTTCCCAGAGAAGTTTAGTCCACCGTACAAGACTTTCCATTTGACAGTACAAATCTCTTTGCAGAGTCCACAAATACATTTCTGTACACTCTGAAGGACTCGAGGGCTACCCTCAGAACCTTAGGTATTCAGGTACCTGTTGTAAGAAGGCAAAACAGGTCATTCCAACAAAGATTGAGACATGCACCATTCAATCAACACCAATGAGAATACGATAACAGACAATGTCAGAGACAAAACAGGCACAAACAGTGCAACAACCAAGCCTCTGCCCAACAACCATCAACATCCAGACAACAGTTTTGAAGTGTTGTCGAGGGTCTGATAGCCCCGAAATCTCTCAGGCAGCAATCCACCTCATCTGCAGTATTTGGCAACAACTAGTGGACTTTTATACAGTATGGTCGGCCATTATCACCAACAAGTGGGTGCTGGAAATAGTGAAAACAGGATACTGCATCCTGTTCATAACCAACCCCCCACCGCACCCTCTGTCCCCATCCCTCTTCAGGGACCCTTCTCATGAGATACTGGTTCTTCAAGAGGCAGAGTACTTAGTCTCAAAGCTATAGAGGAGGTACCGGAACAACACCAGGGCAGAGGATTCTATTCTCACAATTTTCTCACCACCAAAAAGTCTGGTGATTGGAGACCAATACTAGATCTGTGCAAACTCACCCACTTTGTCAAATACCAATGTTTCAAAATGGTCACACTCACGGCCATAATACCTGCCTTAGAGAAAGGAGCATGGCTGTCTGCCCTCAACCTAGAGGATGCCTATTTCCATACATCCAGCACACACAAGGTTCCTGAGGTTTACAATAAAGAACAGACACTTCCAGTACAGGGTGCTTCCAAAGGTACTGGCAGTGGTCACCGCACACTTACACAAGAACAGGATCTCAATATTCCCGTATCTTGACAATTGTCTCCTAGCGAATTGTACACCGCAAGAAGCGCAGCAAGCGGTCATAATAGCAAAAACACTCTTTGAAAATCTCGGTCTACAAATAAACACCATAAGTGCATTTTGTCCCCAACTCAATTACTGAAATTCATAGGTACATATCTGGACTGCACAACAGCCAGAGCTTACTTGCCTCACCACAGATGAATGACCATAAAGGACCTGATAGCATCTGCACAGAACCCTCTGATCATAACAGCAAAGGCTATGCCTACAAATACTGGGGCACATGGCAGCTGCAACGTTCGTCGTACCCTATGATCGCCTACACATGAGACCACTCTAGGCCTGGTTACGCACAATCTATTGACCACAAACATACCCACTACACAAATTTCTATCCATACCGAACAAGATAAAATCATCCCTAGCATGGTGGACAGTACACAGCAATGTTTGCGTGGGAGTACCATTCCAACGCAACACACCATCAATCACAATGATGGATGCCTCACTCCTGGGATTGGGGGAGGGAGCACACACTAAGACTGCAATTCAGATGAATAGAAAAAAACATTTTATTTACAATGAAATATTAGAACATTTGATTTAGTAATTTGAAGTATCCTTAATAATCTAATCTATTTGTGTTCTTAGAAATTGGGCAAAATTAGTGCTAGCATAACTTGATGTGACTAGAATTACAACAGGCATGAATTTGGTGCAGTATGTTCAAAATAGGGATGTAAAAAAATGTGAAAATAGTAACTATAACTGATGGAAATTCAGTTACACAGTTAAATGTGTCACCCGAGGACATAGGTGTAGAGAGGAAAAGGTGTTAGAGGGCTCTTATCTGCCAGCCCTCGTGGACTCGCCGCCACTAGCTCTTTTGGGCTTCTGGCCCTTCCAGGCTCTGGCTGCAGGTCCGGGATCCCTAGCAGCAGGTCTGGTAACAGGAACCAATAAGCATCATCTTAATGATTAATCCAGGGGAGGGCAATAAAATGGCAGTGGTTCACCCAGGTTAATTTCTGGTGGGATGTTGCCACTATCTTTATCTGTGTGTCTGCAGCTATGGGCGATTGCAGTTCCAGTTGTCTGGGAATGGTGATCTGTGGTCTGAGAGCTGCGATCCCCCAAACCTGCAAAAGTGCAGGTAAAGACGGCACTGCAGGAACCCACCAGAGGCTAACCTTGGCGGACCAGTATTTACTCATCCCTGCGTTAACCCATTAAACTCTCTTAAATCCCTAGTTCAAAACTTTATTTTAATTATAACAGTGCATTTTTAATATGTTATTTTCTTCTTCTTCCTACAGATCACTTTCATGGTGCACCTACCACCTTTGGGTTTGGGAGTTTACCAGCTTATGGAGGGTTTGAATTCAGAAATGGTCTTGGCTGATTATAAAATATATACTAGTGGAGAGAATAATGTTCAGGTGAACCCAGATAAAGTGTTCAAGATCAAGGAGATGCAAAATTCTGCGGATGATATTATTTTAGAAAACTCTTATGTGAAACTATGGTTTTCTGGGATCTCAGGGCTTCTAAAGGTATGTTGGCTCACAGTTTGAAGTACTGTATTTCTTCTTAAGAGCATAAAAGTTAAATTTGTCACCCTCACATTTATGATTGTTTATCTTTAGAAAATTAACATGAAAGAAGATGGCAAAAATTATCAAGTAAAGGTGGAGTTTGCATGGTATGGAACCACAAGTAACAGAGATAAGAGCGGGGCTTATCTCTTCTTACCAGATGGAGAGGCCAAGGTAATAGTACTAGTATTATACTTATTATTAAAGGCTTTCATCGTGAAAGATCCCAAAACATTTGGCAAATTGTGTATAGAAGTACTAATTGGCCCACCACTGAAATATAACCCTGGTGGACCGGTATTATAACCCTGGCGGACCGGTCTATAAGCTGCCACAGGACTCCTTGCCACTTTTGCAGATTCAGACTAACACGTCTATCGCCTGATACTTGACACTGAAATATAGCTACTTCTGTGGTGAAGCATAGCCTTCAAATTGTGCACATTGGAATTTTAACAAAACACTGACAACTCTGACAGAAAGTGCCAAGTGATCTTCAGTGCCCACAAGCAGTCGATCTCATTTTCATGTATTGTGTTAAGTGTACTACAGATATTCATTCATTTTCCCCTGCTTTTCCTTTCTTCCCTAGATCTCATTTTTCCCTTTAGTCTGAGATTGGATATCCTAAATTTATACATGGAATAATATTGTGAATATGCTAAACTTTTTTAAGGTTGTAAGCTGTTTGTGGGATGGGCTGCTTTTTATGATGTGTTTATATAATATCTAACATAAAAAGGTCCGACTTTGATTGACATGTTCAGCGTTATTGCGATGATGATGATGATGATGAACAAAAAGGAAGAGCAAATGGCTATTAATTTAGTGATTTAAAAAAACCCAGTCTTTTCTGATAATTCTTGTGTGTTCTACTTCATTGGAAATTCATAAACATGGATTTCAGAAATATCTCTACATTTTTATATATATATATATATAGCATTTGTGAAATATTTCTCAGAATGTAAATACTTTTATGGAAAAATATAAACTGAGAAATGGTGTAGAAAACAGTTTTACAAAGGTAAATGATAGTATGCAGCTTACTGTTTCTCTTTATTTTTCCAAACTCTGTTTTCCCTTGGAGGAATTTTAATGGGTCAGATTGAAGCTTTGTGTGCCTATGTCTAGACTACAGGCTTCTTTCGGAAGAAGCTTTTTTCGGAAGAGATCTTCCAAAAAAACCTTCTTTTGCAGCGTGGATACTCTTTTAGACGTGCATTGGAAAAAGCGGTTTGTTTTTTCGTAAGAGAGCGTCCAGACTGAATGGACACGCTCCCGCATGTAAGCTGTCATTGCAATGGATGGAACAGCCACCAGGGCGCACCTGTGCTTTCCCTCGTTTTTCCTTTTCTTACGAAAGAACTCCCTCTTGCCCATCCCCATACACCTTTTTGTGAAAGAGCTTTCGCAAAAAGGCTTCTTCCTCGTAGAATGAGGATTACTAATGCCAGAAAAAACCCTCCATTCTTTTGATTTTCTTGCAGAAGAACACAATTGCACTGTGGACATACCACCAGATTTGTCAGAAAAATGGCAGATTTTCTGACAAATCTCTGTAGTGTAGACATACCCTCTGAGTGTTCACACAAGGAAGTAAGGGCATATAACATGTTTATTGTCCTTGTGCTAGCCAGCCATGCTGTAGATGGCTTTGGAGATGTGCGGGGCTCACATTGGTTACATCCCACTTCCCCCTCAACTTCCACTACAGAAGAAAGGAGAGAGGAACTGAAAGGCAGACTGGTAAGGCCATCATTGAGCTCTAAGCAACTAATCAATCAAATAGCACAAACATATAGGGATAAAATTAGAAAGGCTAAGGCACAAAGGAGTAATAAAAAGATGGTTTTAAAAATATATATATTAGGGAGAATCAGAAGGAAAAATAGGCCCTCTGCATACAGAGAGAGAGCTTGTAACCTATGACAAAAGGAGGCTGAGCTGTTTAATAACTATTTTGCTTCAGTCTTCTATAGAAAGATCAATTATGACCCAATATTACCACAATAAACATTAATAACAGAGGGTAGGAATTAAACCCCCAAAAGGGAAAGAATGTTTAGAAGAATTAGCTGTATTCACGTTGGCAGAATCTGATTAAATTTATCCTAGGGGACTTATGGAACAAGCTGAAGCAGTCTCAGAGCAGTTAACAATTTATTTTTCAGAATTCCTAGAGAAAGAGTGGGATTTTAAGAGGACTAGGGAAGGGCAAACCATAGTAGAGGATTTTAGACCAGTAAGTGTATCTTTGATACCTTCAAAGACACTGGAACAAATTATTGAACAATAAATTAGTTAGCACCTAGAGTATAATAGAATCAAAAGTAATACCCAATGTGTATTTGTCAAGAACAATTTGTGTTTAATTTCATTCTTTAACTGGAGTTCTACTGATACCAGACATTTTAAGCACACCAAGTATTCCTGATTTTGAAAGAGAGTTAGTCCAGGACTTTACAGGATCTACAAAATTTAGTTACTTGGGCCAGAAACCCCTGTCAAGTAGAAATGCCACACCATTACATTCCACTGTGAACCAGCTGCTGAAGAAAGTGTGGCAAAAACCTCAATTCACTATCCCAACTTTCAATGCAGTGAGGAAAAAATATATTCTCCCCAAGGATGTATGTTCTCTGAGCTCCCAATGGGAGCTTGGGTAGAAGGTGGGGTCAGAGCCATAACTGGAGGGAAAACTAAACACAATTATGATACTGCCTACCCAGAAATTAAGCTGTGGTGTTGGTAATGTATTGAGCAAAGAATTGACCAGTTCATGATTGCCACACTGTACATTATGAAACATGAACCAAATCTCAGATAGAACTATGGAAAAAAGCGACATTCACCCTGGATGCTTAAAGAAGCTAGTCTGAGAGTGGAGACCTGGCCTGGCTGCAGGTTTGGGCAGCCTTTTCAAGTGAGACAATGAAAGAATCTTTGTCCCAAGTTCGAAAGCCTGCTTTGGTCTGTTTAGCTGAAGGCATCTGTGTTCTATCAAAAGATTTTGGTCTCAATAGTATTTTGTCAGTGTTCTAGAGATGAGATTTTCGTAAGTTCTAAGGACTGTGAAAAACTGGATATACCCCTAAAAGTCCTGTTTAAAATGAACAGCCATACCAACCATGTTTTATGTGAATATGGAGGGAGACACAAAATGTACTCCCTCATTTGAGAAACATTATAGGTGTGGGAGTATTGTGTGTTGTACAAGATGAGCCTTGTCACCATGTGTATGTCAGGGAAAAAGAACAGTGTCAGATAGGGCTAAGCTGAAACAGATTTTCACAAATGATCTTTTAATAAGAAACTGACTGATCAGATTTTCCTGTAGTACTGGACAAGAGCAATTGATTTTAATCATATATCACCCAAGTAAGAATCTCTGCTTCTCATTATGGTACAAAAAAGATCACCGTAATAAAGTACTCTTTTTGTGGTTGTTATATGGCTTGATACTAAACTCTGTTGTAAATGTACTGCCAAATTTTGGAAGAGAGAATGGTTTGAAGAAAGTAACTCTTATTGCGTTGGAACTGTGGGTTTTTTTACTCTGTTGCAAATGGCTAAACCTAATATGAGTCATGTTGTTGAATCTGGCTTCAGATCATCACTCAGAACCATGTTACCTGCTTTATCTCAATATGGGAATCTTCTCCCAAAAGGTGGCTTTATAACATAGAGATCCGTTAGCATGTTCTGTCTGAGCAAGTGGTTCTTGACTTCTGATGTCCCAGAAGGACATTTAGTAGAACTACTTGCAAGTCCAAAAGGAAAAAGCTTTTAGTGAAGTGCAAACAACCCCCAAGGACTCCTTTACTTGCCAAACTGCTTAACTATTCTCTTCGCCTGCTTGAATCGACTTTAGAGTAACAGCATCCAGATATGTTTTACAATGTCTCTATAGTTAACTGGTTAAAGGTAGACCAGTATGTTTGCAGCTACTTTTCATCAAATTTGTGCACTGATAAGAAAGCCCATTGTGATAAGCAATTTTCATGTCCTTACAAAACTGATGAACTGCTCAGTTCCTGTGATGCTTCCTGTCCTAGCTATCAATCTAATGAGCCAAAGGATTATTACTTGAATTTGAAACAGACCATAATATTTGGTTGCAAGAGCTGGCAACCAAAGAGTTGGCTGGCAAACATACATCTCAAAAAAGGTATTTTTTTCTTAGAAAAATTCCTTGAGCACAAGTTAACAAAGTACAGATGATTCATTGGTTGAAGTCATGGCTGGAGATCAGTGAGTTTGGAGATTTACATATACAAGAGTTTCCCTCTGCTAACCCCTTCAAACAACTCAGAGTATGAACTGGCCAGTCAGAAGGAGTGGTGTTAGATGAAAAACTGTTATGAGCAATTATCCATGTAGTAAACCACCTTGGGTTTGCCTGGTAAAATGCAAGAAGCCAACATCAGAGGCTGGAACTCAGTGACTATTTCTAGAGACTTTGGAAGCATTTAAGAGAGGAAAAATAATGAATGGACAAATAATGGGGGAGCAAGTAGCAAAATTAAAAGTGTAAGTAAGAGGCCCACTTCTACTCTTTTCTTCCACACCATGCACAATAATATAGAAATGTGCCTCTAAGCTTCAATAATGACCCTCAGCCTACCTACCAAATTCACTGAGGATTAGCAAGCCATGGCTAGGAGTTGGCACTGTGAGAGCATCAGTACGCTTGAGACAGCTTCAGGTCTTGGACCCAGCTTTTTCTGTCTCTGCCTGATCCCCTGTAATACTCAGATGGGATGGGTGGGGCCAGACTGAGCTAGCACTAAAGCTTTATCAAGAGTGTAGCTAATGGTTTAGCTAGGACTTTGCTGTGATACTCAACATATTGCTGTTCCTTTTGTGTTTTTCCATATGTTAACTGTGCATTGAGTTCAAGGTAGGGCAAACCAATGGTATTTATTATTTTGGATATCCTAAATCAGGAACACTTTGTCCAACTTTTTAGAAACATTTTACTTTAGCTCCTACAAATGACCTATTAATTTCCAGGTATATTTAAATCTTTTAGGGAAGCACCATCATCATACTTTTAACAGAATATCTTTTGAAACCTTAACTGTGGAGTATACCACTCTGTAGCAGCTGGGTCAAACAGCCGACAACTATAACATTGTGAGAGAGAAAATTTTGAAGCTGATATGTAAACGCAGCAATATGTTGCTTAACACATAAATTTCTCTCATCTTCAAAGTGCTCCACAAATACTAATTTAATAATTCTCAGAACATACTTGTGTTGTGTAAAATAAAGGTGAAGATTGTCCGTGTTCTAAGACAAGTTAAGGATAAGAGAGTTGCCCAAGGCCCCAAAGAAAGTCAAAGTGGGGATCAGAAGTTGTGATTTCCCAGATCCTAGTCCTATATTTCAGTTACCAAACCTACAGTCATCTAGGCTAGATGAAAATTATTTTGGAGAAATTTTACATTAGGATTTAAAATGGTTTAATAATTTATATGCTGTGGGGGGTTTCATGCTGCTATAAGGAAAACAAACATTTTTCATAACATTGTTTTAACTTTGTGCCTTTTTGCAGCCTTATGTTTTCACAGATCCACCAACCATTAGAGTCACTCATGGAAGGATTTTCTCTGAAATTACTTGTTTTTTCCATCATTTGACACACACAGTGCGACTTTACAAAGTTCAGGGTAAGTGGCTGCAATTGTGTCATTTTATTTTCTTGTTAATTTGTAGTGTTGAGTTTAGGCCTTACATTGACTTCCTCGTGCTTTCATAACTTACGCTTGTTACAATGCTGTTGTAGGAATTACCTTCTGATTGCAACCTTCAGAGAATTTAAGAACGTATTATCTATACTTGAGTCTTGCAACAGTCACTCCATTTAAGGCAGGCTTAAATCCTTGGATTACCTCAGCACTGGAAATCCTTTTGTGATGCAGAGCTGTCAGAATGGCTCTTATACCACCCAAAATCCACC